GTGGGGTCTGGGTGTGTTGGGTCTTCTCAGGCCATGACAGCAGTTTTGTTATAAACCAACAGTGTGTCCCCCACAGGTGGAAAAGTGGTTGAGTCCCGCTACTTGGACTACGAGAAGAAAACAACCAGGAAGGTAATACAGTGCTCGGTGTATGCTCGAAGCAGTTCTGAGCATGGTTCTCAGTAACTGGAATTTCGAAACACTCAGGCGAGCCAGTCACAACCTGGTCCTGAAGGAAGCGGGTCCAGGGCCTTCGTCCAGGTGCTTTTAGGTTATCGGCTCTTCATGCCGAGTTGGCCTCTCTGTCATGAGCAGCCCACTGCTTTAAGCCTCCTTACAAAGCTGTGATCTCTGTGGAAGCATAGACTTGTTCTTGCCTTGCAACCCAATAGTTCACTTCCTGGACTTTGAAGCTGCCTTATCCAATGCCCAGCGCACGGTCCTTGGTGTGTGGCTGGCATTTCTCCTGTCTGCAGGAAGCGAGTTTTACTTTTTCTTATCCAACCTGTTTGCCTTTGTGTTTTGTTCTAGGACCTCCACTGTGATGTTGAGTAGGAGTGGTGTCTGTACCTTGCAATATTCTTGCCTTGTATAAGATTTTCCTTTTGCTTTTGGTTATCATAAGGGCATTATTCCATGTGTTGCTTGGTTTTTTTTTGTAAGTTTTGACCATTAATACCTGTATACAAACTTTGTCTTTCCTGGTGACCAAGGTAATATGTTCTTTCTAGAAAACGAGCAGATACTGAAAGGTATCCAGAAAAATCGGTCACCTGTAACCTACCATGTCAGAGATAATCACCAGCAGACATTTTGGTGGTTTCCTATGCTCTGCGCACATGTGTGTCTACTTTTTGAAAAAATTTGTGTGTCCTGTATATATGGATAAAATTTCCAAACTCTTTCGATGTCTCCCTTGCCTCAGAGTAAGAGCATTTACAGAAAGCAACATAGACTGCGTCAGGGGCCCTTCTCCTGACGGGCAGGTGTCTTGCCCTCTGAATGTCGTGTGTTCCTGTAGCAGGCTCCTGCCACAGATGCCTTAAAGACCGGCGGGAACACACCTGGAGGTGGAAAGAGACCCAGCCAGCTCCAGAAAAGCAAAGGTACGAAGCAGCCCAACCATCAGTGAGTGACGCGCTTGGTGGTGAACTCTGTTTCCATGTGTGCCACGTTGGAGCTCCCTCTCTCCTTTCTGGGAGAGGTCAGAGCTGCTATCAAAGAGTTTGAGTGTAAGGACAGATGGGGGGCTTGTGGGGAGCTGAGGGGATGGCTGGGAAGTCGGGGGGTCACTTCCGCCCTATGTGGTCCCAGAGAAGAGCCACGTTGCCACCATGGCGCTCCCTTGTGGCATCAGTTCCTTGTCTACGTGACAGTTTCCCCACTGGCACTCTGAGAGCAGCACTCTCAGGATGCGAGGCCTTATCCTCCCTCCTCTCACCACCTTGGGTTGCCTTCCTTGCCTTCTGCGCCAGCAGCTGTGGTGGTCTGTCCTAACCCCTCCTTCTAGAAGTTGTCACCAAAGTGATACGAAAGTCTTTTTAGTTTTCCTAATTGTGGATGTGACACGCATTCATTATAAAAAATGGAAAATGGGGACCAGGTTGGGGGACCTCA